GTCGGGGGAGGACTGATCAATTGTGAGGAATGGACTGGTAAGAAATACAAAGAAACCTCTAGGATGAAGGAAATACCCTGTAACTTGATGAATTGTGGATTATATTAGTTTACACGGTTGTCAAAATTTTGAACTGTAAGCTTGGGCTTTGAATATTACACTTCAAACTCTTCTACAATTAAAAACAAAATATGTATTTCCTCTTAAAAATATAATTCCCTACTATAGCCCAGGTATAGAGGACACAAAATTTAAAGGCATGATCTACACAGGACACCTTAAAGTATACTGAAAGTACTGCAAACAAAGAAATGCAAGGTAAGTTATCATAATGAAAATCACACATAAGAGAAAGTTTTCAAAAGCTGAGAAGTAAACAGTAGGTGGTCAAAAAAAAAAAAAAAAAAAATCCTATAGGCCAGACCAGTGTTGTGGCATCGCTGGTAAAGCTGCAGCCCGCAATGCCAGCACCCAATCTAGGTTTGACTCTGGGTGCTCTCTGTTAACGGCCTAGAAAAAACAGAAGATGGCCCAAGTACTTGGGCCCCTGACACCGATACGGGAGACCTGGAAGAAGCTCCTGGCTCTTGACTTCAGCCTGGCTTAGCCCTAGCCCATCTAGAGAACTAAAAGAGAAGCTCTTCTTCTCTTTTTTTTTTTTTTTTTTTTTTTTTTGACAGGCAGAGTTAGACAGTGAGAGAAAGAGACAGAGAGAAAGGCCTTCCTTCCATTGGTTCACCCACCAAATGGCCACTATGGCCGGCGCGCTGTGCCGATCCGAAGCCAGGAGCCAGGTGCCTCCTCCTGGTCTCCCATGCGGGTGCAGGGACCCAAGCACTTGGGCTATCCTCCACTGCCTTCCCAGTCCACAGCAGACAGCTGGACTGGAAGAGGAGCAACCAGGACAGAATCCAGCACCACAACCAGGACTAAAACCTGGGGTGCTGACATCGCAGGCGAAGGATTAGCCAAGTCAGCCATGGCGCCGGCCCTTCTCTCTTCTCTTTTCTCTTCCTCTCTCTCTTTCTCTCTAACTGACCCTTTCAAATAAATAAATAAACCTAAAAAAAGAAATTCTATAGGCATATGATAAAACCTGTACAAAAGTATCAGAAAAATATCATACTGAATCTGGACAACTTAAGTTTTTTGATATGCTTAAAGCACAGAATTAGGGAGTCAGGGGAGATAGAGATTACTGTAGAAGAGGCTGGAAGACGCTGGATGAGAAGGGACCTGATGGTGAAAGTTATTTCTGCCCATGCCTCTGTGCCCTCCAAAAAATGCATTTTAGTTGTATGGCAACAAGGAACCATTGGACTAGTGTTAGTATGGCACTGAGAAGTAGAAATCTCATTTGGGAAGACCACCTCAACAGGAGTGGGGGATGTCTGGCCTGCGAGCAGTACAAGTCCCGTAAAACCATCAGGTCTAGCCTTGCCAAGGCAACTGCAGGCGATACTTGAAATTCAATAATCCTACAGCAGGCTAATTTTTAAGTTCATATTTGTGTATGACAAGCAAATGATGTTATAAATATCCAAAAGGCCCTTAGCAGAAGAAAGGTTCCTCACTACTGACCTAAAGGATATAGAGGAAAAGGTTCAGGTTACAGTCAGGCACTCCCTCTCTCCCCCCCAGAAATCACTATTACAATCTATATAATACTTTATCTAACAACAGCAAAATGTACGTTTTTCTCAAGTTCACGTAGAACATTCACAACAGATCATATTCCAGGCCATAAAACACATAACAAATGTAAAAGAATACTGATCACACAGTATCATGTGCTCTTGAATCGCCATGGAATTAAACCAGAAATTGTCAATAGAGAGACAGCTGAAAACAACCCCAAAGTAATGGGAGATTAAACAACACAGTTTAAAGTAACACATGGTTCAAAGAAGAAATCTCGAGAGTAAAAGACATATATATTGAGAAGTACGTGTTTAGTCCAACAGATAAGATGTCCATGTCCCACATCAGAGTGCCTGGCCTATTTCCAATTCCAGCTCCTGATTCCAGCTACCTGCCAATGCAGACCCTGGAAGGCAGCAGTGATGGCTGAAGTAACGAGATTCCTGCCGTCTGCATAAGAGGCCTGGATTGTGTTCCCAGGTTCTGACTTCAGCCCCAGGTTCAGCCCCAGCCAAGACCTTGCCACCATGAGCCTTTGGGGAAAGAACTAGCAGATGAGGGGCTCAATCACTCTTTTGATTTTACAAATAAAAATCTTAAAATAAATTACCAAACTAAATGAAAACACAATTTATCAAAAGTTTTAGGATGCAGGTAAAGCAGTGCCAAAAGGGAGACTTATATTATTGAATGCATACAATAGACCAGAAAAATCTAAAATCAGTAGTTTAAACTTCTACTTTAGGAAATTAGAAAAAAAGGATACAAAGAAAGCATAAAAAATAAAATAGAGCAAAAACAATGAAATTGAAAACAGGACATCACTAGAGAACAAGCAACAATACAAAAAGCTGTTCCAGGGTCAGGCCTGGCACAATGGTTAAGTCATAGCTTAGGACACCTGCATTCACACTGGAGTGCCAGTTCTGCTTCCAACGCCAGCTTCCTGCTAAAGCACATCATGGGAGGCAACAGGTGATGGCTCAAGTGCTTGAGCCCAACCACTCAGTGGGGAGACTTGGTAAGAATTCCAGGTTCCTGGCTTCAACCTGGTGAGGCCCCAGCTGCTGTGTGCATTTGGAGGTGAACCAGAGGATGGAATGAATATATCTATTTATCTATCTCTCTGTGTCTTCTTTCTCTGCCTTTCAAATAAATAAATAAATTTATTAATTTTCCAAAAAAAAAACCAAAAGCTGTTTTATTGAAAGTGTCAATAAAATCAGTATCTCTACTAGGCAGGAGGGGAAAATAGGGCTTTGGACTTCAGCAGTACTGAACTGCAGATTTTAAAATGGTTAATAGGGTAAGTTAAAAGAAAAAAAAAAAAGGTAGGCCTATCTACAGTCAAGCTAACAAAGGGAAAAAAGACATAAACTCCAATATCAGAAATGAAAGAGGCTAAGAGACAACATTATTATGGAGTCCATGGATAGGAAAAGACTAAAATGAGCTACTAATTTGTGCTCACAAATTTGACAACCTTGGGAAAAACTGACAAACAACACAATCTGCCAAAGCTCACACAAGAAGAAAACAGTCTGAACAGACCTGTATCTATAATAGGAACTGAATCATTCATTAATAACCAGACCCAGGGAGGGGAACTGGCAGATTCTACCAAAAAACTTTTTAAGAAGGAAATTTTATTTCAATTCCCTATAACCACTTTCAGAAGACAGAAGCAGAGGGATTATCTCCTAATTTGTTCTATAAGGCCAGCACTACCAAAACCAGACAATGACATTACAAGAAAAGAAAGCTATAGGAGATGGGCATTTGGCATGGTGGTTAAGGCACTGTTTGGGATACCCACATCCCACAGTGGAATGCCTGGGTTCAATTCCAGGCTCTGGCTACTGACTCTATAGCTTCCTCCTAATGCAGATCCTGGGAGGAAAGAGTCATATCTCAAATAACTATGCTCCTGCCATCGACCTGGGAGACCAGGATTAAGTATCCCATTCCAACATGGCCCAGTCCCAGGTTCTGTGGGTACCTGGTGGGTGAACCAGCAGATGGGAGTTCTATCTCTGTCAGTGTGTGTGTGTGTGTGTGCACACACCTCTCAAATTTTTAAAAAATCAAATCTGGGACCATTGTTGTGGTACAGCAGGTTAAGCCACAGCTTTCAATGCCAGCATCCCATATGATTGACAGTTTGAGTCCCAGCTGCTCCACTTCTGATCCAGCTCCCTGCTAATGTGCTTGGGAAAGCAGCAGAAGATGGCCCGAGTGTTTGGACCCATGCACCCATGTGGGAGACCCAGATGAAGTTTCAAACTCTCAGCTTTGGCCTGGCCCAGCTTCAGCCATTGCAGCCATTTCGGGAGTGAATCAGGAGATGAAAGGATTTTCTAACTCTGCCTTTCAAAATAAATAACTCATTTTTGAAAAAAAATCAAAAATCATATTGAAAGGATAAAGAAGAAAAACTTACTAGGTTAGGTAAAAGGCGACCAAATGTATTAGAACATAACTATAAGTGGTTACACATACCTTCATAATGTGTGAACACATGAGATACAACAAAAAAAGTAAGATAAAACTCCTGCCTTTGTAGAACCTGTAATCTATCAGAGACACACTGAGGAGGTAATAACAAACCCCTCTTGCAAGGACTCAATTTAGTATCAACAGTATTGGCAGGATGATGATGATGATGAAGAAGAAGAATGATCTACATTTTAAAAGAAAAGGACAGGGTATGGCTAAGGGGAATATTTCAAGTACAGTATTATCTGAAGCAAAGGAGAAAGAACAGAATATAGATGGATGAACTGAAAAGAACTCAGGTTTAATATTACAGAAAGAAGAGATGAGAATTACAACATGATTGCAATGTTACTGGTCACTGGGTGAAAATAAAGGTAGAAGATGGCAAGAAAGATACGGGTGCTTACAAAAGAATAAAGGACTGATTCAGTTTAAAAAGACAGAGATCAAGCAAGTGGAGAAAACAAAGACTAGGCAGAGTCAGAGTGTATTAGGAGAGGTTAAAGAAGTCAAGAATTGAAGAAATTCAAGAATTTGAAGAAAAAACCCTTGAGTGTGTGATCTTTTTCTAGCTATGCATAAGATTCAAATTTCTTATTCTTTAAGTTTTATGCTTAAAAATTAAATACTCACAATCCATACATAATCCTGATAGAGACATGTTATCCCAGAAGAGATGTTTCTAAAACAATATAATAAACTTAATTTTGCCTTTCAAATATGTCAATATTCTAGCATATCTATTCCAGAACAATATTTTGCCTTTAAGCAGTCTGAAATTTCTTTGATGACCTACAGCATTATTCAACACAAAATTACATTCCTAACCATAACTGTGAATATCTTATAAAGAAATTACTTACAGGGACATTAAGTGCATACTGTAGTCCTTGAGGAAGTCTTTCGTGTGTTTCCATCTGCTCTTCATCATTTTTCACTGTCTCCTCATGGACCATGAGTTCATCGTGTGATATCATATCCTGCTGTCTCATTTCACTTTCTTGTAACACTTCATCGGCAGCAAGGATTTCCTGGTGAGGCATACTTCGATCTTGAAGTACTGACTCCTGCAGTTCTCCAGACACAGCAGACTGGCCAGACACTCCACCCATTACAACCATTGCCCTGGAAGACTGCATTTCGTCTATGCCGCCACATTTAAGAAACAATCCTTCCAGTTTGTCGTCAATGTTCATGCTTAAGTATAACTGCCTAGAAAGACCAAGTTTGGCAACAAAGCATAATAAATTAGTTTTATATGTCACTTGATATCTTCTCTTAAATTTCAAATTATGAAAGGTACACATTCAAACAGAATGTATTTTAGAACTTTTAAATTAACAAGACAGATTCCCAAAAGCTGGTATAGTAAAGCAAATTTTATTTGATAGTAAGGCATAAAATCTTAATCTGTTTTATTATTGAAAAATGAACTTGACATGTAACAAATCAGGACAAAGTATTTGTAATATTTGTAGTTTTTAATATATTAAACTGTCTTAAACCACAAAATAAAAAGAGATGAATTCAATAAGGAACTGACAGAGAATATAAACTGGCATGTTATTAAAGAAAACTTAGAAAAGTCACTAATTCTATTTAAAAAGTCACATCAATAACCAAAGAAATAAACATTAGAACAGCAGTACCATATTTCATCTACCAAACTAGTACTGACACTTTTAAAATTACATCCAATGTTAAGATGGTTTAAAAGAAAGAGAGAGAGAGAAACCACAGTCATCTACTTACAGAGTATAAGTGAGATAAACTATTCTCAAAGGCAATTTGACTGTACATATCAAAAGGCATGAATGTCCATGTGTTCTCTGATAGTAATACTACATTTAAGGAACTTTATCTTGATGAAACCAGAAATGTATACAAATATGGAGAGAATCACTACAGCAGTGATTATCATAATGAAAATCTAGAAATAGATTATGTAGCTCAACAGAAGGAAACAGGTTAAAATATGCTCAAACATGTCTTTTTGAAATAAATATCTAGCTTGTTCTTTAATTTACTTGAAGAGAGAGTCTCCCTCCCTACCCTCTACCATCCACTAGTCCACTCTCCAAATGCTTGCAACAGCTGGGGCTGGGTCAGGCCAAAGCCTAGAGCCAGGAATTTAATCGGAGTCTCCCACATGGGTGATGGAGATCCAATTACTTGAGCCATCACCGCTGCCCAATGATCTGCCCGTTATGAAACCCAGGTATTTGGATATGGGATGCAGGCATCTTAATCGCTAAGCCAAATGCCTACCACTCAATACACTATGTATTCAATATAAGAAAAACAGGTTAAAATATATTAAAACATATTTTTAAAACCACACCATCCAGGAGGGCATTATTCCCAGGAGGGCTCTCCCCTTCCCATATCAGAGTACCTGGGATCTAGTCCCTGCTTCCAAATCAGCTTCCTGCTAATGCGCCCATAAGTCAACACATGATAGTCCAAGTACTTGAATCCCTGTGAGACCCAAATACAGTTCCTGTCTTGTAGCTTGGGCCTGGCCCAATCCTGGCTATTAAAAGGCATGTGTGGGTAAACCAGTAGATGAAAGATTTATTTCCCTTTCTTTCTCTTTCCTTCTCTCTCTCTCTCTGCCTTACAAATCAATCAATCTTTTAAAAAAGGGGGTGGGGAGAGTGGCGTTGTGGCACAGTGGGTAAAGTCCTAGCCTACAACACCAGCATCCCATAAAGGTGCCAGTTTGTGTCACGCCTGCTCCACTTCCAATCCAGCTCCCTGCTAATGGCCTGGGAACAGCAACAGAATATGAGCCAAGTGTCTGGGTCCTTGCCACCCATGTGGGAGAGCCGAATACAGCTCCTAACTCCTGCCTTCAGCCTGGCTCAGCAGTGGCCACTGCAGCCACCTGGGGAGTAAACCAGCGGATGGAAGATCTCTCTCTCTCTTTCAGAATAAATAAACATACTTAAAAAAAAACTGCACTACAATGATATCTTCCCAATTCAGTAAATGTAGGAAAATCACTGAATTTCATTGTATACATAATTTACAATGTATACATTTTGTAAATTTACATGCATACATTGTATACATTATTAACAAATAATTCAACAATTTTTCTTAATAAAATCCAAATAGTAGCTACCATTTGGGTGGACAGGGATGATTCTGATAGCAAGCAAGAAAGGGGAGTTCCTTGTTGTTATGTTTGAATTTTTTTTTTCTTGAAAGGCAGTTAAGAGATAGAGAGGAGGACCTCTTCTATTGGCTGGTTCACTCCCCCAAACTGCCACAATAGCCAGGGCTAGGCCAGACAGAAGCCAGAAGCCAGGAACTCCATCCATCTCCCATGTGAATGGCAGAGGTCCAGGCACTTGGGCCATCTACCATTTCTTTTCCAGGCACAGGGCAGGGAGCTGTATCAAAGGCGATGCAGCCAGGACTTGAATCAGTACTCAGATATGGAATGCCAGAGTTGTAGGCAACAGCTTAACCCAATGCACCATAATGTCAGACCCAATGTTTTGTTTTAAAAGGTTAAAAAGAAATGTATTCACTTTGTGAAATTTGAAGACACATACTTGAGAAACATGCATTCTGCTCTCAGTTATTATACTTCAATAAAAAAATAAACGTCTAGGGTCAGCACTGTGGTGTAGTAGGCTAAGCCTCTGTCTGCAGTGCTGGCATCTCACAAAGACGCCAGTTTGGGGAGTCCTGGCTGCTCCACTTCTGAATCAGCTCCCTGCTGAAGGACCTGGGAAAGCAGTGGAGGATGGTCCAAGTGCTTGGGCCTTTGCACCCACATGGGAAACCCAGAAGCTCCTGGCTCCTGGTTGCATAGTGGCCCAGCTCCAGCCTTGTGGCCATTTGGGGAGTGAAGCAGCTGATGGAAGATCTCTCTCTCTCCCTCTCTGTAGCTCTGTCTCTCAAATAAATCAGTAATTCTTTAAAAAAAAAAAAAAAAGTAAAAAGCCTACTAAAACTCAAAGAAAAGTTCTTAGTCATAAAAATTTTCTGTAAAAATATTGGAATATTGGGGCCAGCACTGTGGCATAGTGGGTAAAGCCACCACCTGCAGTGCTGGCAACCCATATGGGCACCGGTTCAAGTCCTGGATGCTCCACTTCCCATTCAGCTCTCTGCTATAGCCTGGGAAAGCAGCAGAAGATGGCCTAAGTCCTTGGGGCCCTGCACCCATGTGGGAGACCCAGAAGAAGCTCCTGGCTCCTGGCTTCAGATGAGCACAGTTCTGGCTGTTGTGGCCAATTGGGGAGTAAACCAGTGGATGGAAGATCTCTCTCTCTGCCCCTCCTTCTCTGTGTGCAACGTTGACTTTAAATAAATAAATAAATGTAAAAAAAAGGAAAAAAAACTGGAATATTCCTGAAGACATCACAATATAGTAAGGGAAATATGTGTATATGTACGTTCATGTGAAGGCACACAGGTTTGTGTAAATACTAAAAACATTAACATTATACTGGGTAATGAAATTATGTATACTTACATTTATCTCTAATTTCAAAATGTCCTATGATAAATTTTTATTACTTTTTATAAATGTTTTTAAATTTGTTGAAATAAAAGTGGTAATTTCATTTCTAATATATTTTTAGTCATATACAATTAAATACATTTAATAGACTGTGATAAGAAATTTAAAACCAGGAGGCAGTCATCTGACACAATGGTTAAATCACCATTTGAGATGCAACATCCTGTAACAAAGTGCCTGGTTCAAGTCCCAACTCTGCTCCCAATTCCAACTTTCTGCTTTGGGCACCCTGGGGAAACAGCAGACAATGGATTCTTGTACTTGGATCCCTGTCACCCACATGGGCGATTCCAACCTCGTGGATTTGGCCCTGGTTGTTGCAAGCATTTGATGAGTGAACCAGCAGATGAAAGATCTTTCTCTGTCTCTCTGCCTTTAAATAAAAACTTAGAATAAAGACAAAAAAGTAAAAACTAGACACTATTTTGTCCATTATTACAGGAAAGACTAACCATATTTTAAATCTCTTATAAATTCAGTTATTATAAATTCATATGCGACTTGGTTACTATAGCAACTGACATGACACTAATGAAATCCATAAAAACTTCATCTCAAGAAAAGTCAACTGTCATTATAAAGTTATTTTTTAAAAACTACTTTCATCACTAGATTCTATTAAGAATGCAGTTATTGGCCGGCGCCGCGGCTCACTAGGCTAATCCTCCGCCTCGAAGTGCCAGCACACCGGGTTCTAGTCCAGGTCGGGGCGCCGGATTCTGTCCCGGGTGCCCCTCTTCCAGGCCAGCTCTCTGCTGTGGCCAGGGAGTGCAGTGGAGGATGGCCCAAATGCTTGGGCCCTGCACCCCATGGGAGACCAGGATAAGTACCTGGCTCCTGCCATCAGATCAGCGCGGTGCGCCGGCCGCGGCGGCCTTTGGAGGGTGAACCAACAGCAAAAGGAAGACCTTTCTCTCTCTCTCTCACTGTCCACTCTGCCTGTCAAAATAAATAAATTAAAAAAAAAATGCAGTTACTACTCAATATGAAGAACCTACAATTAATAAATACATGAACTATATTTCACTTTAGTCACCTCTTAATTAATCACGTAAATAATGATCTCTGCCTGGATCATAGCTTTCAGGTGTCAAATAAAAGATCAGTTAAATTCCAACACACTACTGAAACCAAAATACTCTTCCATTTACTAAGCTCATCATCAAGGGAGATAAGTACTTAACTCAAATGAACAGCTCAAAGAACTTCATAAAGAGCAGAGTAAACAAACTTTAATTCACACTTGCCAATGTTCTTCCCTGGTACCACATATTATTAATCACACATACTGCATGAAGGACCAAGCATCTGACTTCATTTTTTAGAATCTTTAGGTAGAATATTTAAAATCTAATGGCCAAAGATTTTAAATACATTGCCAAGTAATAACTTTCTTCAAATATTGCATTTGAAAATGAAATGTCTTTTCAGATTGAAATTTTATTATGCTGCCCCTTTCTTTAAGAGTCCTTACAAATCAACTATATACTTTTCTAAACTATTTATTGTTTTCATAAAGAACCTGTAAACTCTCTAACTTAACACTGATATACAAGAGTGGTTCAAATAGTTTGTGGAAAAAAATGAAACTTGAAGACCAGTTTATTCAGGTGGGAAGAAAATTTTAAATGCTTGGATAGTTCTTTTTGTAATACTCACTTTGCATGATCTT